GCGTCTCTCTGCCACCGGACGGCCCACATAGAAGAAGGTGTAGCCGGCATCCACCTCTTTTATGGAACCTTCGCCGGAGTAGCGGGTTTCACTGAGTGCGGCGAAGTCCACCTTAAAGCGCGCCAGTTCCCGTGCAATTAGCGCTCTTCTCCGTTCTTGTCGAATGCTATTCGGGTTATTTAAAATAGAACGAACATTCCAAGCGCCGAAGATGATAGGACTTACCTGAAATCCCTGAGCTGTCCTGTGGGCTCTGGGAGCTGTTCTGCGGGATAGAATCGGGTGAGTGGGGGGTTGGGGAAGAGTGAGTTTTTGATTTGCGTTCGTAGTGTTTCGACCGCGTGCATGCAGTCTGACAGCCACGGTCAGCTGGCAGATGTCGTAAACCAGCGATTTTTGACACCACCTTTTCTAGGACCATAAACTCTCTCGCGAGGAGAAGCAGCGCTGCTCCTTAGAAGGACTGCCTGGCACTCGTAACTGCTGTCGAACTGCACCATGGGCCATGATTAGATTTGGTGTCGAACGACCACCTGGTTACGAGCCGCCTAAGAATTTGCTGTCACGCCGCCGTAGGACTTTTAGGACCGTGGGTGGGAAAGTATTTGGGGAGAAGGGGGCTGGAACAGCAGCACGTATCCAAGTAGCAGTAGTGGTGAAGGGGACAGTGTCTCCAGGCATGCTGATGCGCATTCTAGTGCTGTGGCATCTGATAGCTGATAGAATTACTGCTACGAGTAATGTTTTCACTGATGTAACTAATGAGGCAATCTCCACTTAGACTATCTGTACAAAAAATTAGTAAAGATAAAATAGAGAGGGAATCAAGCATGCATACGTGTAGTAGGACAAATGATAGAGGATACTAGAGAATATCGAGTAGGTTAGAGATAATGACAGTTAGACAACGTTTCAGGAGTATAGGAGTGCTTAAGCTAGTGGCGAAAGTACAAATAGCGATAGCGGTGAGAGTGGTATGAACAACCAGAAGTAGCAGGTATAGCAATAATGTAACAAGCAGTAAAGGAAAACAAACAGTAGGACACAGACAGACAGTGTTACGGTATACAGTGAGTAACTACCTTCCGCCAACTACGTCTACGATGATAGGTACTGTTGCAACCCGGGGACATACCGGGTGTGGGGACACACACACTGGAGACACTCACTTGGTTTGGCCCGCTGATCGAGGCGGGGAGCCGGGGGGTGGCCGCCA